GCCCAATGGGGGGGGGGCCCCCCCCCCCCCCCATGAGCTCCTGGGCAGCGGAGAGTCCCAATCCAGCTGCAGTAGGGCTTGAGACATAGCAGCAGCCTCCTCTGCTGCCTCTGCCCCTGTAGAGATGGGGAGGGAGCCCCACCTTCCCCTGGAGGAGCCCCCCGGGTGTTCTAATCCTCCCACCACCTGGGAGGCTCTACTTACCTTCCCCTACTCCTGGCTGAGCCACAAGTCAGTCTCTCACTGTGGGGGCCTGGATCTGGCCCCTGCCTCTTCCCTTCCGCACTGCTGGGGCTCGGGGCAGTGGATCTATGCATCCACGCATGCCCAGGTGTCCCTCCTGCCCAAGATTGACTTGGAGGCTCTGGGATCGACCAGTCAATTCTGAGCTCCAGGTTGGTGAGCACTGTGTTACATGGACACTGAAGCTAGGAAGCTGTTGGTGTAGAGCTATATGATATTGGAAGATGCCACTGCATGACAGACTGAAGTTTTGTGGTCTTGGTATGGCCTGTTTATAAAGGTTCAGTATATAAAACATACTGCAGTGCATAATCTGCACTGCTTTCAAGTAGTTTGATCACTTTGCTGCTGCATACATTTTCAGGCTCTTGGTCCACTGATCACTGGTGTCCTGGAAAGAGCCAATTGGTCACATCAGCTAAGAGCATCCTTCCTATTTTTCCTATGCTAAATAAAATTAAAAGAGAGCTTTCAATACTTTCTTAGTATTATTCTTCCATATGAATAGTTCCTGCAGTTTCTAAAGCACTGCTGTGCTGTTGTGACTAAGATAAAATGAGTACAGCTGCAAGAATGTGGACCACATTGCAAAGAGAACCAAGACTCAGTTCTGTACCGTGCAGTTCTATAGGCTACTTCTTTCTTTTATAGTTTTATATACTTCTAATCTATAGATCATAATTATAATATCTTAAGTTATTTCTCAAAGAAATAAGTAGTTTTTTTCTTTTTTTTCCTTACTGAAATTCAGCTAATTTATATTTTTCTGCAAGCTTGCTTTACAAAATTCACCAGTATCTTAATGCACTACTAGAATAACTTTCGTTTAAAACGTTGCAAAACAGTATTCTTGCATTTACTTTTGTTTGTTCACTGACCTTCTGAATCACTTTGCCTACTGTGATTTCCTGTAAATGACTTCTATAGATTACATCTTGCAAGTTATATACTAAACTACTCTTACAAAAATTTGTTGCGTACTTATATAATTGCATAAATGTAATACATAGTAAGGGGCTACAACATGGCCTGAAATTGCCTTTTTTTATTTCAAAACTACTCGGCATAGCTCGGAAAGCCACCCACACATTTTTCCAGATGGAATACTGAAGGTGGGAAGCTATTTTCTTTTTTCTTTTTTTTTTTTTT